TGTACAAAAATAATAAACTAACCATTATTACGTCTTAAAGAAAGCTTTTGTTTCTTGGACTTTTATAAGTTCGATCTTATACTATACGAAATGTAAATAATTCTGATTATTATAAGCATAATTTTGAAAATAATATTTCATAAAAGTTTTGGAGAAGCATTACCAGTACCGTTCTTTTACATTTAACTGCAAATAAGAGAAAGTTGCTGCATGGCAGAATTAGCAGGGGAGACAGATAAATAGTGGACGAAGAGCAGAAACATTGAGTAGGCGTGGAGCCTGCAGGAAGTAATGGATCAAACTCAGGCGACAGTCCTCTCCGCGCGATCTTACAGATTCGTTACCGCAAGAGAAGTCTCATGTAGATTTTATAACAATTAGTTCCTCTAATATCCGTAATAATGTTGCCAGCTAACCGATGCAAAATCGGTCCCGACGGTATATATTTCTCGAGTTCAAAGACGAAGTAATCTTTGAAGATTTTACGTGTGTACTTCCGCATAAATTTATCATTATATTAAGAGAAGACTACTTTTATCTCCTATTAACACCATCAAGATTTTATAGATAATAAATGACAATTCGGAAAAAAACTTCCTGAAGATACTACAGGCAACTGTCAGTGTTAAATAATTATATAAAATTTTTCCTTTTAAAAACAATCTGCTCATTAATTTGTATTTTGGTAAAATATAAGGTAACTTTTCTTTTAAAGTCGAAACTTTTTTTTCTAAAAAAAACTTATTCAATTACTGTATCATTCACATTATTATTATCTATAAAAGAAAAGATTATTGTATTTATAAATTTGATTATCTTTAGCAGAATTGTTAAAATATAAAATTACTTTTAAGTTTACTTAATTACGATAATACGCAAATATCACTGACATTTAATTAAACGATTTTGACGCATCTGATATATATTAATAATATTTAACATTTAAAAATCGGTATTGCCATCGGCGAATATGGTTATCTGATTAGACAAAACAAATGCTTCTGAATAAGATGTATACTAGCAATAATGGCGGTATTGGCTAATAATATATTTCAATAATTATTATAAAATTGAAATATTGCCGAATTTTGATTATTAGTCTGTTTTTGCTTAAAATGACTTTATTAATTAGACTATTTATGAAATAATAAATACAAGTGTTTTACACCTGTGTAACGTACAAATTCTGGCTTTGACATTAAATTTACATAAGCGAATTTATTTTTTGCACATATCTATGTAATGAAATGATATTAAATATTTAACAAAATTATTTAAAATACGATTGTGTACTTAAAAAATAAAACATATTTTCATTATTTATTTAGACACTTAGGCTAGTCACTTATGTCCTAGATAAAAGTTATCTAGAAGTAAAGAAATTGCGGGCATTACCTGAATATATTCTGTTATAATAAATATAAGCCGAAAAAATATATTTCAAATTAAATATTGATCCTAATAAATTTTGTAATTTCTTAAATAATGATTTAAACATGTAAATGTTAGGATACAGTTATAATAATTTTTTTTATTATTAATGTCAATTTGTGTCTTGGAAAATATTCTCTCTTCTTACTTTAATTTAAAACAACAGAAAAAGAAATATTCTTTCAAATATAGGATATTTATACGATTGTTAGAAAATATAATAGAGCGTAATGATCCTAATGAAACTCACCATAATACAGCTCTGGTTCAGGAGATGTTGAGCATACCATGTCAGTATCATCGAGCTCGATTTCCTCCGCCATTGACATGGATGAATCGGGTGCAACAAGCATTCTTGTCTCCAATTCATTATCTTGTTATCCAATTCATTATGTGATTATTTTGTTTAATCATCACAAATTGTGTTGAATCAAGATTGCTTACAACATTTATTATAATTTCAAATAAAAAAAATGCCAGAAAATTATCTTCTGTTGTGTAATAACAAAATATTATATTGATTAAAAATTCTCATTAATCAAAAATTTATTTTAAAAATTGATTTTATATCACATTATGTATAATAAATGACTTATAATGTAATAAATTGATAAAAAATATAATTTTTTAAGAATATTACATTATGAAGACATTTTTTAACAATATAATAATTCAAGAACTTGTAGAATAAAAGCAAAATATAAATACATTATTTGTTACCATTTTCTACAAATGATTAACATTTAATTATAACAGAAATTAGAAAACAATTTCTTTGTTACTCACTTTCTTGGCAAAACAAATCGGTCTGTTGCGGGAACTTATTTTCTTCTTCCTCTATCTTGCTCGGTCTTGCTAGTAATCTTTCGATGCTGAAAGAGCATAATCTCGGATTTTCCACAGAATCATTCGTTTCCTTCGATGAGTCTAATTTTTTCATCTCTTCATCGGACATCTTGAACGCGTTTTGTCAAAGCAACAATAGAATATTCTGTTAGTAACATAAAATCATGTTTTTGATATTCGCGAATAAATATTTCGCGCCAATTGAGAATTCTCTACAACTGATAGATTAGTGTTCTTCAAGAATTATCTTTTCAAATTCTTTTTATCAATCGTAATATCACTCACTTAAAAAAAAGATCCACTTTACACTACTAATTAATCGACGTCTGAAGAATCAAATAATTGATAATAGAACTTCACTAAAATTGTATTTAATTGCACAATTTCATTTATTCTCTTTATCGGTTAATATGTATATGTTACTTTTACATTTTAATTAAAACAAGAATCGATGATTCTGACAATCAAAAGAATCAAGGAGTTACATTGGTACCCCTCGATGTGTTCGGAAGATTAGAACCGAAACCAGTGACTGTTTTGTCGGGGTTACTCACGGTGTCCAACAATATTTTTTTGGCACTCAAGTCAAATTCTTCGTTCCTTGAGGCGGTATCTTAGAGCCACGTGCTCACGACGTCATCGCAAGATCGACCAATAACACAAACCTCTGGGCGGATCTTGGCAAACACGTGCGTTTCTGGAAGGAGCTTTTAATGATCTTGTATCGCGAGACGGTAGCGACCACTAAACGGTGGTAATGAGGTGACTATAAATTTCTGTCACTGCCACGGAACGCCGTTTAATAATCATGATAGGTAGCAGATGCGATACGAAATTGATTTAGTTATAAAGTTTAATAATTAATAGAAAGAGCAGAGGAAAAGGAGATCATAGATTATGACTACACACACAATATACTTTAATATATTTAAGTAACAACAGATGGATTAGACTTGAATTTAAAAAATACTTGTGTACACTATTATTATATTAAATAAAGTTAAGTACTTATTTAATTATAAAGCGTAACAGGAATAAAACCTACAAAAATATATTGATTATATCATCTGGAAAATGTTAAACTAATAATTATATTAATGTCCAATAAATAATTCAATAACGTGATACTTAATGCATTTGACGAATTCATGTCATTTCAAAATCGCTATTTCGGTGATAATTTGATGTTAATGATAATTATTGTGAAAATCATCTCTCTTACGTGATGCACACATTTACAAATTATCATATATATAATAATGAGATCATTTTGAGTGCGTTGCCTAAAACACGAAAAACTGGGCCTTCGATGTATTATTAGACACAGTCAAGAAATGGTGTCCGCGAATATCCGTGAATTTATATCATGTCGCCATTTCGATATACTTGTTCCTTCATTTAATAAATAATTAATGAGATTATTTTAATAGTAATGCATAAGGTGAATTGATGTACGAAGAATAATGACATAAATTAATAATTATAAATTTCTTTCAAAATATAACAATTAATATAATCTACTTAGAATTTTATTACACAAATCAATTTCTTAAATCATTATATCTTAAATAATTTTCAAGCTAAAGTATAATTTAAACTCCTTAATTACAATAAGAAGTAATTTTTTTAAATAAACTAATTTCTAAAAATATTTGCCTCAATCGAAGATCGAGAATTATTTCATTTGATTTATAACACAAGAATTTTGTGAAGCGCGGACAGAGTTCTCTAAAAACTATCAATGGGTGTAACTACAAGATCATGTTACCAATGTATAGCATTACTCTGATAGGCTGTTGCCGTTTCACGTTCAGAAAATTGAAACCTTCGCGGTGGCTGGTAAGCCAAAATGTTTGTTAATTTCACGCTTAATTGGCCAGTGGCAAGTGTAAAGTTAAGATATATCTTCATTCCTCTTAAACACATTTGCCGCATGATACGCGACTCGGAACGACAGGTTCCTTGAACATATTTTTGGAGTCATGTTTCAACACATGAAAAATCTTTACGTTGTATTTACGCTTATATATATGTATAATATATAAAGTTGAAGTTGCGTCATGTTTAGTACATAGATATTAGAAAGCTACTAAACGTAATTTAATATAAATCGCCAACACTTTATAATACAACATAAATATGTATATGTATGTGCATATTTCGTTAAGTTTACGGAAAAGGATTTAATTTAATGAAAACGAGATAATGCCACAAACCTTTGTTTATTTCCTTAGGCATTAAGATAGACCTGCATTCTTTATATTCTGTGCTCATTTGCTATTTTCAAAAAAATAACCATCCCTAATTATATTATTACTTTCACAAAGCCTTTACACATATGGATTCCGGTATCTAGTTATTTTGACAATATAATTATCTCGACTCATAATTACATATATACTATGTTATTAAATATAATGAAAAAATAATAAATCAAGAGATACAGTAGTATCGCGCAAAGTGTCACGTGCAAGTGTTACACGCGCAAGACAGACCGTGCATCTGTATACTATTAATATTAACAAAAAATATATTCATTGAATATTAATATAATTAATCTAATCGTTATCTTTAACAGGGGCACTCGGATAACATTTTCCATTATTTGATCCGAGATCCAAAAGATTTAAATCTAATAGAAAAAAGAGAAAAACTTACATTATCTCATTAAACTTAAAATAAAAAAAACCGATATTAAAATTTCAAGTACTTAAAATCAAGACATTCGTGAAACTTTTGTGATTTGCACGTTAGTTTTTACGAACCTTTCACATTTGGTCCATATATCACTTGTGGCTTAATACTCCCACGACTTTTTTCTTGAAATATACGTTATCATTTATTATAATGCGCACATTGATGCTACACTTTAGCATTATAATAAATGTTATATATTACGATAAGAATCCAGATAATGTTCACATTATTGCTAATTGTAAAATATTGTATTAGTTAATAAATATTCATTCCTGCAATGCTACCAACAAATATGTTACCATCATGATAGAACTCGCTCGTTAAAATTTAATGCTCGTGCATTAAAGAAGAATATGTTGCAGATAAGTTTTAACGTGTTATACAACAAAGAGTGAGAAGTGTTGAATATTAATTACAACATAACGATTTATATAAGGAATAGTAATTGATTTTGTGTGTGTGTGTGTGTGTGTATGTGTGAATAGCGATTGCTTGCAACACTATTCCTTGCTGTGAGCGAGATTTGTGTTCCTTTACATTTGCTGCGTAGAGTTACCGTTCCAAGTATTATTCTCATCATTATCATCCCCACCTGAATGTAGTCTGTGTATATTCCCTTGCGCTCTGATTGTTGTCCCTCCTTGATTACCCAAGTATCTTCTAAATAAACTGTATCATGAATAAAACTTTTATTTAATAAATGAAATAAATATTAAATTCATTATATATTAAAAATTACATACATATTTTATATACAATTTTGTTAAATATATTCAAATATAATATAATTCTATATAGTTTTATAATCGGGCTTACAAGATTGTTTAACATGTTTATTGGAAAAAACCTACCCCGAAGGTTGAACTACATTTCGCCGATTTGGTGAAATAGCTCTGTCGGAGTTGTTTGCCGTTTCTACGGAATCATTGTTGGAATCACCGCTTTGATTTGCGTCTCCGTTAGTGCCGGAAAAGTAACCTACTATATAATTGTAAATACGAATAACGGGTGTGAAGAAGGACCATATGAAGCGTGAGAAGAATCCAACGTCTTGTGCTGAAGATACCACTGCCGTGACATTAGACTGAAAATATATTTAAAAAAATATAAAGCGAGTATAATTAAAATTGTAATACTTAACAAAAGAAAACCTTACTCTATTTACATTTTTCAAAGGAAGAATTAAAATAACAGCTGTCGGGACCAATTCTAGTTCCAACAGAGTTTTGTCATTATCCTCATTAGTCAATTCTCTTCTAGGAAATGATGTTGACATGGCGAACTGTCGGAAGGGTAGATTGATATTTTCAGTAACGTAGGTGCGTAAGGTGCGCAAAGTATTGAATTGTTCAAATCGTCCTGTATGAGAATTGCCGGACGGTAATCTAAATTGAATTCTAGTCACAATGACATTATTATTAGGTGCTGGATTATATTTGGGTTGTTCTTGATTCTGTGGTTGTTGCATTTGTTGCTGTTAAAGAAAATAAAAGAATTTTTTAGATTTGATTCTAATTGAATATAAAAATCATTAAAATAATTAAAATTATTAAAATGATGTTAACCTGCAGAGCAAGCTCTTTCTGTTTTCGTTCTAGTTTATCTTGAGCGATTTGTTGCCTGACTTTTTCACGAGCTGCAGTTTCTGCAGCCTTTTCTCGCATCCTTTCTTCGTGAGCTTGTTTTATTTCTAACTCTTGCTGCATTTGCCGTATTTTTTGCACATCGCGTCCCATCTTGCGTCGTTCAATTTCACGTTCCCGTTCCTTTTTCTGTTCCTCATCTTGTCGTTGTTTTCGTTGGAGGTCAATTAACTGTCGTGCTCTTTCAAGCTTTTCCTAAAAATATGTGACAAATATAATTTGTTATTAAAAAATTATATTGATATTTTCAATAAATAAATCCACATACCTCAGCTGTCAAATCCTTATTTTGATTTTCTTGTTCATCTTCAACTTTTGCTGATGCTTCATTATTATCTTGATTCCCTGTATCTAACGAAGTTGCAGATTTTGCTGTGTCTTCCGTGACATAGTTTTCGTTATTTGAAATATCTGATGTAACAGACTCTGTTATGTCAGAAGTTAAATCTGTATTTGGATTAGAATTATTATCATTTATATTAGATGTAGTCTCAACAGCATTGTTATTACTACTGCTACTGGCAGCTGTAGCTTTTTGTTCTGCATCAATCAAGTTTAACGAAGATTGTTTATTACTCTTCTTCCCTGCCTTAGTAAGTACATTATCAATTTTGGATGCTAATTCAGCTGCAGTTGCGCTACCAGCAATAATTTCCAGTGGTGTACCATTTTCTCCAATGAAAAATAAGGATGGTACTGGTACCAATTGGTCTAATTGTTAAATTTAAGGAAAATATTAAAATATGATAAACATAAACAATACTAAAAACAGAAAGATAAATGTTATATAATATGATAAACTTAATATTAAAACAAAAAGATATAAATGTTATATAAGAGGATACAAATTTGCGCAAAGAATCTATATGCTTCGGATCCACTTTCTAATCTTATAGCAATAAAATGTTCTCTCTCCAGACGAGAGGAGACTTCCGTAGCATCAATTGCTTGAGCAAGTTGCACCGATGTGTCATCTTTACCTAAAAGAATATTATGCTAATATCTATACAATTGTCAAAATTTATGTAAATATGGTTGATTTGTTTAAGTATCCATTTTGTGTACTTCACATATTTCATGTATTCGCATGTCATATTATATACATATATTTGTATTACATTAAAAAGATAATTTCGAGTCGGATCAAACTGGAGTAAAATCTAACCTAGAATTTGGATTACATACCTTCTACGAATACAACGAAAACTGCCTTCCTTGATTTTGACGTCGCAACCGCCTCATTAATACTTCCCGCAAACCACTTCATTATATGAGAATATTCGTATATTTCGTTTCCTTATAATCTCTAACAATATTGATGACGTAATGAAGAAATTGCGGAGTGAAACACTAGAAATTTTGCGATGGTTTGACGTTTCAAATTCAGAGTGAGGTTCAGATAGGTGTATGATGAGTCGTCACTCTCTATAGTTCTCTACAGACCTGATGACGACATTTACAACAATGATCTACTCCCACCTATCGCTAAATTAAATATGTATTTTTTTATCGTAATTAATGGAATATTTATTTACCAATTGGCATATTTTAAGATCTCATTTATTAATAAATATATGATATCAGTTTAAAAAACAAAATCTTTTATTTATGCTGGATGATTGGACATACAATAATATATCATTGGTGGCAAACCTGGACTATTTTTTAGAGAATTAATAAAAATTTTCGTTATAAATCAAATCTAACGTGAAGATTCATACAACGTATAAACTTCCAATAAAAGAACGTCCTAAAAAACGTCCACAAAAGTGGATCTTATTGCTTTATAACGACTAGATGTTATAAAGCGCGGAGATGCATAATAATCTTTGTTGGACATAATCAGGGCCGAATTAAGACCCTATAATGCAATTAATTAATACGTTACCTTCCTTATTCAAGCTTTAAATGCAACTTAAATTAAATTAATCAAATTTTATGTTCGATTATTACCTTCTATAGTTTATACGCAATTGATAATAAAATTAATTATAATTACAAAAATTAAAATATATGTAGCCTACATATCAATAAAATCATTTAAGTTTTCAATTTATTCAGCTTTATTAAAATATTTATATTAATAATACAGCAACAAATAAAATCGATACGAGATAAACAATTAAAATTACGACATCCTGACTCAAATCTAATAATCAGTGGACAATTTTCTCAATTATTCGCGTCTGGCACAAACCGACAATTTTTTTAGAATTTTTTTCCAAATATGCCACCCCTTTAAATTTGCCACCTTCATGTAAATTAGCCTAATACATCATTTTGTCGATCCAATTAATTAAATCATTGTGATTTATTAAATTTTTTTAAATATTAAATTGAAAAGATGATAATCCAGATTAAATAAAAATAAATATTCTATCGTTATACTGAAGATACATAGATACCTTTTTATTAAAGGTGACCTTCATCAAACTTCGATTAACTTTGCAGGATTGACCAATCGCATTTATCATTTATCTTAGACGACAGACGCGATTGGTTAATTCCAATGGACTAATTGGTCGATTAAGTTAATCGGAGTTGGTGAAAGTGTGGTTCTAAATCTCGGAGCAACTGTCGCTCGTTGCGAATGCGCCTGTAAACAGCCCGCAAACCTGCAACTACGTAGTTATGCCACGAACAAGAAACGGCGGACTAGAACCATTTCTGCTCAGTCTGTGCTATGTAAATGATGTTACAGTAACTTACGGGTAACGAGTTTCTTGTTGCTTTTATTAATATTACGACTGAGTGAACACATTCCTCAAGAATGGCACAGTATCTGAAAAAAGGTGCGTATAACCTATCATGACGTTTAGCAAGTGCGATCGCATGTCGCTCGAGAATCGAGGAATCGTTCGGTACGTAGGATGTGCCTAGGAGGGTGGTGGCGCAGGTGACGGCCGCGCGTGTGCGCCGCCATTTTCTTCAATTCCATCGTTTCGGTTGTGCGACTTACGGCGGAACGGTGGAATTGAAAATGTTATAATGGCGAGTGCGTCTATTCCGCATATTTGATGTCGCGATAAAGTTGGGCGTACGCGTACGCCTTATCAGTTATCCTGCCGAGATTTCAACATTCGCGGGCGTCTCGCATCGGCCGTCGTGTCGCCGGCTCGGCCTACGGATAAGTCGCTCCCATTACTTGAAGGTCGCAGCGTGCCGACGCGTTGCGTATGTGATTCATACTCCCGGAGATATGGGGAGGTGCGACTCAAGTAACGCGCGATAATCGCGTTACTCACATCAATTCCGCGATACGCTACATTCCGGAGCACGTGCGACAAGGCATACGCGCCTTTCGGCCGACGGGCATAAATTTTTACGTTACTTCGCCACCCCGTCGCGTTAAATCGTCGTGCGTAAACCCTCGCGCGTATATTTCTTTGTACATATCTGCGCGTGCTCATTTCTTCATATAATATGATATCGGAGCGAGCATGAAGGTAACCGTGTGCTTCGACAACGTCAGGGTGGTGGTCCCCTGCGGAGATGGAAGTCTACTGGTCAAGGATCTAATGCACGAGGCCATCCTGAGATACAAAAAAGCCACTGGCAAAAATGATAACACCTTGATCATCAATAGTCTGTCTTCGTTGACTGGTGGTGGCTTGTTGGATCCAGATGACAGATTGCGTGACGTAGCCGATGACAGAGAGCAGATCGTAGCTCACTTTGCCAGCTCCGATGTCAATCATGTAGGTGGAGATGGTGCGAGCTCAGTTGGCACCAACAGTCCTGACTTCTTCCATAGAGATGGCAAGGAGCAAGCTTATCCAATTGATATCCATTCCTCTGTGTCTAGTAGTATTAAGAGAGAAAGTACCAAGCGTTTGTCAATGCATGCATTGTCAACGAGAGAACCTTCTCTCACAACGTATTCTGCTCAATCTCTACCAAGAGAGTCTCGACGTAGGGAACCTTTAGGTCAAGATTCTAAAGCTTCGTATGAATTTGGCAATAACATTGAATCTGGGAACCAAGAGGTGCGAGAAATTGTGATAAAAAATGAAGCAGGACCACTGGGACTCCATGTGGTGCCATGTTACGACTTATTAGGCAATGATCAAGGACTTAGAGTTGAAGGTATCGAACCAAATGGTCGCATTGCCAGGGACGGACAAATTGATTTACACGACAATATTATTAAAATAAATGGTCATAATTTGTTGCATATACCATTTCCAAAGGTCCAAGAAATTTTTAGAACATGTATGAATGATCCCTGTCTACAAATTTCCGTTGTTAAACATAAGAAGAAAGCGAGAAACGAAAAAGCTTTGCATAAAAATCATGGAAATACCAGTGGCGGTTCGGAGAAAACCGAAGGTGATGAGAATATCAAGAGACTTCAATGCAGCAACTATAATCTTCTACAGACTGCGAACACTAGGAAAATTGGACGGATGATAGAAATAGAATTAGTAAAAGGAGGTAACGGCTTAGGATTTAGTGTTACCACACGTGATAATCCTGCTGGAGGACATTGTCCTATATATATTAAGAATATATTACCAAAAGGTGCTGCAGTAGAAGATGGCAGATTGAGACCGGGTGATAGATTGTTAGAAGTAAATAATAAGGAGATGACTGGCAAAAGCCAAGCAGAAGTTGTATCATTGCTCAGAAGTATTCCTGCTGGTGGTAAAGTAAGAATGGTAGTATCACGTCAAGAGGAAATTTCTTCAAACATTCCAGATTCTCAGGGTATTGCAGCATCTACTCCACCGACTGCTGAAATAATAGATAATTCAAAGTATTGGAACGCATTAAATAGATCACCAACGAAAAAGAATGAAGTACAAGATAAAGTAAGCACTCATAATTACGAGAAGTGCACATACAAACCAATTAAATCCTCTGAGGATATTGTTTTATCTCCACGGAAGAATCGTGTGATAATGAACTTAGATATACCAGTACATGATTCCGAGAAGGCTGGTTTAGGTGTTAGCGTTAAAGGCAAAACTAACAGTTCCGATGATAACACCAGTATGGATTTAGGTATTTTTATAAAAAGTGTTATCCATGGAGGTGCAGCATCCAGGGACGGTCGTTTGCGGACCAATGATCAATTGCTCAGAGTTAACGGCGTATCTTTGTTGGGATTATCTAATTCTGAAGCAATGGAGACTTTAAGGAGAGCAATGCTTAACACAGACAGCTCAGTAACTGGCGTGATTAATCTTATAATAGCTAGGAGGGTATCATCGTATGAGAATACAAGTGAGAAAAATACTGTAGATAATTTGCAATCTCACCGTAAGCCAGAATCTGTTAGTAGCATATACATATCGGATTCTACGAAAATGAATGACGGCATAGTCAAGGAGAAAAACACTTTAAATTCTCAAACCGATGTATTAGATAATGGTGGATTATTATCTTGCGTAACAGCTTCACCATGGAATCCTGTTATTGATAGACTGACGGAGCAATATAGCAAGAATAGTTTAAGGAACGAAAGTTATTGTCTTGCTACTAATAAGACATGGATAGAACCTATTAATAATATAAAGAAAATTATAGGAATGCGCGACGATCGAGTTGAAACAATATTGCTAGAAGAATCTAACAACGATAGCTCTCAAGGAAATGACGCAAAACGAAATTCCGAAGATAAAGACAGTCAATATTCCGGAGATCCTACGTATGACAGCCAGTTATCTCTGGAGGAATTAAATTCTTCGTCAAATAAGTTTTCTCGTGATGCTCTTGGCAGACAGAGCATGTCTGAGAAACGGCACGCAGCACTCGACGCTAAAAACACAGATACTTATAAAAGAAACAAAAAGTTGCGTGAAAACAGAGAAAATAAGAACGCGGATCAAGCCAACCAGAAATCAACTAGCCAAACAAACAATCACTCCAGCGATTTAGGAGATTACTCGAAGAGGAGCAGCAAGTCGAACAACTTCGAAAAACATTCAAGTAAAGGGGCCTTAGTTGGAAGTACAAGTACCGACAACAACGTAAGACACCATGAAAAGTCTGTTGATGTTGCTCAATCGGAATATATGTATACTATACCCGGATGCAATAATAAGTTTGTTTCGCCGAAAAAACATTGGCTCGTAGACGATGTACATGGTGAAGTTACAAGTAGCAATAATATCAAAGATGAGCGAGAAGGTTTTTCGAATAGTCGCGGAGACGTAAAACAAGCTTCTCTTAATTCAGCATTGGATGATCGATATAAGCGAAAGAAAAACGGTCTTCGGTCGATACTTCGATTGAATAGAAATAGGAAATCACTTAATTTTGGAGATAGCATAGAAGCAAGGCACGAAACTAGTAATTACTGCAGCTGCATATATATATATATATATATATAAATATATATTTTATCTATCTATATATATATATATATACGATCTGTTCCAAA